GATGTTTTCCATGTTGTAGGGAATATCTCGGAATTTAGAGATAGACGGAATAAGCAACGTAGGAGGGGATCCAGCTTTGGGGTGCACATTTTAGGGACAATGGCAGGAATCCCGTCGGGTCCAGGTGAATTGTGTGGGTCCACCGACAAGAGGATCTGACGTATTTTTCTGGTGGAAATGAGCGGTGTGAAAAGATGGTTTGCCGTAGGGTGTGCGCAGGGTTCGATGGGTGATTCGAAAAGGGTAGAATTTGGAAGCAAACACTTCTGCTTTTTCCAACGGGTCGGATGCTAAGTTACCGGATAGGTTAACAATGGGTGGGAAGTTAGTGGAACAGAAGTTACGAGAGACTGCCTTAGTGAGTGACCAGAACGTCCGGCTTCCGACAGGAGCGGTCGCCAGTTGTGCTACTTTGCGCTCAATAAAGTGCTCTTTAGACTTCGGTATGATGGTTGTACATTTGTTACGTGCTAACAAGAACCATCGGCGGGAGCTGGGGTAAGGTGACCGACGCCGGCGGCGGAAGGCTGATTCCCTTTTACGAAAAGCGCGACAACAGGCGTGGTTAAACCGTTCTGGAGAAAGCGGTTCGGTGGGTTTAGTGAAATGAGTAATAAATATGTGCATGCCTCCTAAACATACCGCAGGATCATCGTCCTCAGAACTCAGCGAGATACAGTAGGACTAGCACATCTGAATCAGAGGACTGTCGGCTCCTCTGTTGCATCCTCCGTTCTTTGGTCCCCACCAGCGCTCAGCTCTCACCGTGACTCAGAGAAGCTGCCTGAATGCAACAGAAGCCCCACTCCGGTAAACCGCTTGACTGGCGGGGCAAACCAGGTTGAGTGTAACTGGGATCTGAACTCCCGGACTGTCGGTGTCTAACATACGCGTTAGGCGCATGAATTCGCTTACACGACTCAACTTTTAAGGCAATGACTCTACTCACCAGGGATGCATGAACCTCTGTTCAGCTGGAAACTAACAATGGCATATGCCCCCCCCCTCCTAGAGGGCTAGCGGTAACCACACTACGTTCTGCCTTACAATTAACACTTGAGTTTTCAAAGGCTGGAGATTCCATCTCGATCCAGATCCGAGTGACGCTGTACTTAGGCGCTAAAACGTTTTATGTATATTCACGTAGGAACACTTAGATGCCGGGTGTCAAACGCTAACAATACATACGCTGCATGACTATCAGCTGTATACTACATGCCTGTCAAAAGTCAAATTAGCGAGCTCCGACTCCAAAAGTATCGAAATCCCTGGTATCGATAGTCAATACGGGCTGTATCAAAGCTGCAATGAAACTTTGCGTCAGTAAGGAGTGACACTTGCTTTAAGCCATCGGGTTAGAAATGCTTTATCTTCCTGGAACCCGGTATCCTCCAGGGTTTTAGTAGCGCGATTCAACGATCATTCAGTGAACCCCATAGTAATCGCTGACTCTCCGATATGACAGCAATGTCAAGGATGAGTTCTATGGCAGCCTTCAATCTCTTGGTAATGAAGTACCCAGACGTGATGTACTCGCCGTAGCAGGGGACTGGAACGCTCGAACTGGTTCACATGAAGAGGTCACAAAACACATCGNCATCGTAAGGAGGTTTGGCCTGGGTCAGCTCTGCTCAGATGTTGTCAGACTACTCAGCTTCGCCAGTTACAATCGACTGTTTATAATAACACGCGGTTTCAATATCCAAGAAAACATCAACCGACGTAATATTCCAACGGCGGACGAACAGCACACCAACTAGATTACCTTCTTACCTATTCATGATGGGTTTCTATGGATGAAGACTGTCGACTCTATCACGAGATTGAATGCGGGAACAAAAACGTGCTAGTTCGCACGAGAGTGGGACTTCATCTAACACGCGATCGGTAGCTTACAGCTGTGGTCAGTTTGGGCTAACTTACCGGCGAGAAATGCGTCCAAAGTTGGTGCTGGATAAGAACAACCGATGATCCGCGCAGAACTAAAGTAGTTGATGGCTGTTGTTTGATCACTGGGCAAGATGACCGATGCAGTCCTTTAGACAGGCTTCGGATGCGCTCAGTTTTCCAACCTGCTCATTAAAATCACCTACCAACATTGTATATATGTATATATATATGCCAAACAAATCGTGGTACAATAATTTTTATAAAAAGAAAAACCTTCCACGATTTGCACGTGGGCTGAATAGTGCCAGGTTGCCCAGGCCATGGCAGGTGAGTTTTCTTGAGGAATTCACAACCGGATCCTGTGCCTAGCCAAAGCCTAACCCCTCAAGGCAGCGGGGCGTGTGCAAAAATCGCAATCCATTGGGAGCTGGTGTCTAGTTCATGGGATCGCACGCCTTTCGGACGGGGTTAAACGTCCAAGGTGCCTGATACACCTTAATGCCCAATCGAGCCGGTGACCATTGCCACAACGGGAAAGGTGGGGATATGGTTCGTACGCCTCTTGGTTGGTTTGGAATCAGGGTTTTTGACCAACTACCCTAGATTAACTGCCAGTGGTTCACTAACCCGGTTATAGCCCCGGATTTCGGCTTTATCGCCTAATAATCCTATACTACACCGACCCAATGAGTGGCTTCGTTGTCTCCTGATTGCCAAAGAAGTGACTCGCTGCATTCACGTGCCTTGTACTACTAGAACCATGAATTCGTGTCTCCGATACGCAGCAGACATCTTTCTCTAAATGAACACGTTTGTTTAACCTCTTACATCGGAGAATGTGCAATTTATTTGGTGATAAGCTACATACAAGCCATTAAGCGAATGATGAATCTGAATAGACAGGCCAACTTCACCGGTTTGCACAATGTATCCTGGATCACTTTGCTGCATTTGTGCATGTGCATACTGCAGTTCATGTGATCAGTAAATAACAGAACCATAGGCGGAGGAAGAATAATAAATCAGTCCTTCGGTTGAGTGTTACGGTTTGAAAGGAGGGGCAAATGGAAAGGATCAAGTATAGCAAACAAAGTTTGGAATCTGAAAGCAGTAGCTCATTTTTCGCTGCCCACCATTCTCGACGCCTTAGGCAGCGCGGTGTTAATTATCCTGCGCGACGACCGGTGCAGTACGGGATTCTTTACGGACATTCACCAGTGTGGTAAACCAAACGCAAAAATAGTGACCACTGCTAAATGATTTTTTGTGGCAAATGCATGCCCTCCTTTGTTGAATTTACATCGGCTGAAAATGGCTACAGTACGAATTCGTCCGTTGTTTTCCAACAATATCATGAGAAAATTGTCGCTAATCCTCTTGGACTATCTTTAATTTAGCTTCGTTGCAGGTCTTCTCGGCTACGACCGAATGTAATCATCGTGTTCATGCGACTTGGTTTGTTTTTTTCCTCTGCATTGCTGTTTCGCGGGAGACATTCCTTTGGTTATGCGATTAGCTCTGCTTATGCTTACACCGAACAAACTGTACTTATCGGGAATTAAGACATCGGATTTGTGCACTTCTAATACGTTCCTCTCTGCTTCACTTTTGTACAGCTAACTCTTGGGCAATTCATCCGGTTGGAGAATGGTGACAGTACATGACGTTTATTCAGCGAGCCGCACACTAAGGTCAACTTTTAAAGATCAGTTTTTGCGCTTCTTGGAATAAATCCTTCCTACCTTCATAACGAGAGATTTTATGTAAAGAGCTTGCGACCACATATTTTCTAAATTCATTTCAGATGAAGAATCATTTATCAGTATAAGGAAGAAGGCTTTGCTATTTAATATTAGTAGACTGAAATAAACAGCTGCATAAAACAGTGATTGTTTGTAAGAAAAAGGTGGATTTGCGTGCTGCTCTACACAAATTGTTTTCTCATTTCGAGCAGTAACTTCCGAACTACTACAAATTTTAACGTGTCCCTCAAGGGTTACATCTGTTTGAACCATGGTGCAAGAGAATTAAGAATATCGCAGTAAAATTCGGAATAAATGTATGCCTATCGATTTGCAAGTATGATATCGAAAACTGAAATGCATTTCGAAATTTAGGGTCATTTCGCGCGTTTCGATCAATATTTACTTCTTTACAAGATGTGAACTGCCGAAGCATGGACAGTCCGATAATTCGTTTTTTACTGAATGTCATATGATCACGATACGGACTCAAGGCATGTTCGTTCCTCTAAATTAAGATCACTAATGATAACCATTTCCACGTGTAATCCAAATGTACTACGAAACACAGCCGCTTGTGTGGCTCCCGAGAAATAGATGGGTGGTATTCCTCTATTCACAAGATGGTTGTCTTCAATCAACACCAGTCTCTGAAAGGTGTGTCGGGTCTTCTCTTAAAAGTTACCATCACAATTAAAATTTTTGGAAAGTATCATGGTGCCGATAAATGTAACTATTATTGTCCATTATTCTACTTGTAACACTTGAGGATTTATGGTACTAATAATACTAATGTTCCTAGAACTCCATGGTACTACTGATGTCACTTTTTACAAACCCGAATTTCCTCCCAGATCGATCCAATGGGTTTGTTCCCCTGCACTTACACAATCTTGGCTTTAGAAGCGGGGTTACATTTTTTTCTCATTTTGAACTTACCACATTATCGGTGACCCCCAGAGTTACGAAAATCTTACGTTTTTCCACCACCCAATTTCCCCAGAATATTCCACCACGGTTTGTATAGTAGTTAGCACGTATGTGCCCGCGAGTTCAGCCATGGAATGGAGGAGACTGTACGTGTCCTATTGCAACATGGACAGGATTCAATCCATCTCCGAAAATAGGAATATCTATTTTTATCTTTGAAATATAGTCATTTCTATGTCCTGATGGCAATCTTTCCCTTTCAAAGTCATCTCCCACGAAGATGTATATCTCTTTGTGTGGATATGATAATATGAGATTTTTGGACGGAGTTGATTAAATTGGACATCATGTGCTGATGTTATGGAATTTTTTTGCTGCCCTGTGGTTCTTCTGTTCGTTTACATCTGATGTAACGATATCAAATTTTTATCCTGTTGAAAATGACTACTCTGTGAATGCAATTGATTGTTCCATTTATCGTTTCGATTTACTGATCTCAATAGGTTAAGCGGAATGCTGAATCTGCCAAAGAGGAATCGCGAAAGAAAACACGGCATCTCATGGAACGACATGCGGAGGCTTTGCGTGCATTTGACGCGAAGACACGCAGTTTAGGCATTGATAATGCTGCGGTTGTTGGGGTATCCGGTCGCATGTATGGTGCCGGTGGTGGAAATGGAGGATCACCTGGACCCAGTGGCGGTTCTTTTTCTAGTGGCAGTGGTCAAAGACCATCAGACTGGCGACACAGCCGTGCGGAATTTCTCCCTTCTTAGGTTCTTCTATTTGAAAATGTGTAAGTGATAAAAGAGTTCAAGTACGCGTGTAGAAATGCTATCCACGGCCCTGTTGCCGAATGCAGCTGTTTCAATGTTGTCCCTTGATCAGTGCCTGCCCAACGTGCCTTCCGTAGGCTAGCGTATTCATCGTATTTGTGTGTTGGTCTATCGTGTTCACAGTGCATTTCCTGTTCGCTTCGTACGATCGGCGTTGCTGAAAAACATTGAACGATGTGACTACTTAAGTCAGCAGATTTGAACGTATTTGGTCCCTGAAGTGTTTTCTGTTTCCGCATTCGAATGGTTTGTTCAATATTCCATTGTTCATTAGGTTACTCTAACAGACATGCTTTAAGTCAGTTGTTTCCATTTTTCATGGCATCATAAACAAGGCGAGCATCAATTATGACAGAAAAATTAAGGCGAAACAGAATGATGAGCCACGACTGTCTGGCGTTTTGAAAACAATTGTGTTAGATCCGACATTTGTAATTCCGCCTACTTGCCAAGATATCAGTAGTATAACTATGAACATGCATACTTATAATGTTTACGTAGTGTTGTAGCGTTACCCCGGCCAAGTTTGAAAGTGTACATACTCTGATTCTCTGTAACTTTTCCCATTCTGATAATGTACTTCTTGGAATGAAAAAGTCAGTCGACCAATAAACGCACCTAATCACCATTTTCTAATGGTAAAACGTGACAGGTCAGTGAAAATGTTTTCCTTTTTTCAACAGGCTAATTTCTGGAAATAGCGCATTCGGTTTTACGATGTGTCAACCCACGCATCGCATACTGCCGGCGTTACTCATGTACCCATGTCTATCATCATCAAGCAGAATGCTCCTATCCTCGCTGTTTGCAATCACCTAACTGCTATGCAGTCGTTCGCTTTCAATGTTCCAGTTCTTACGTGGATCGGCTTCCAGAATATGTTCAAACGAATTTCGCTCCTGCTGCACGTGCAAGTCGTAAATGCGTTTAAACTACGCTCACCTTGGCGCGCAAGTCTGTATCTCTCTCCCCTCTGAGTCACACACGGACCAGCGCTCCCGTCTTCCTCAGATTGATTTTGAATTCGGGAGGAACGGCTGTGTTTCTGTCTGCCAAATTGCTTTGCCTCTTCTTTTTCGCCTTTCAACAAACACTCGGATTCAGCTTGATGGGCTAAATGCCTTGTTGTCTCGATAGCTTTTGGGGTCTCCGCTCTGCGACAGACAACCACCGGGCTGAACGAAAGTCCAATTTTGTTTCAGTATATTTTTCTATCCTTATCACTTCTGCAAACGTAGTAACACTACAGTTCTGTACATTGACCTCAGGCGACGGAATCCCAATCACGTTAACTGTCCGCCTCATTATCCATGAACACCAACCCACCTTGTTCAAACCTTGTCCATCCGCCTACCCTGAAAACTTCCTTCAAATGTATATGCGGTTGCATTCTTAGGATCCACTCTTTGCTGATTTGGCGTCCATTTTCTTCGGATTGTGTAGCGTCATTCCTACTTGTAATTTCAGTCAATTTCTGACACAAGAATTAAAGTGATCATAGGCTTGAATCAAATACCATCAAACGTATGAAGGAATTCTACCCGGTTCCTAGTGATACGCATATACACACATGCACACTGTACAGTTCACTTTTCTCTCTGGATTACCCTCGCCTATGCCTACCCCTTCAAAAATAATCTGCTCACATTCAACACCTCCATGTTCAGTACATTTACCATGTGTGTATGTCTGCGATTTTAAAACATAGATTAACTAGTAAAACCCTACATAAGGAATCTTATCCTTTAGCGAAGCAGTGCACAATGAAGGACGGGACTTCCAACTTTTCAGGACTTTCAGTTCAGATTTTCCTTTCCCCTTAGTCCTTCAAACCGTCACTCGCGGATCGCGCCCGGTTGACCTGCTTTCTATCTGTTTACATTCAAATGCAATAGTGTATTTCTTGTGAAAGTGACCCCCTCTTCTCACTCACACAGAATCAACACGGTTACCACAAACTCGTTTTTATGACCCTAATATGCTAACTTTCCCACTCACATGTGGACAATATTCACTACGGTTCGTTTTCTTCTGATGACGCAAACAGACGGTTGACTATTATGTTCTGAATGCATTGAAGTTTTGTTTTTTGGCACATTTTTACCTCTATCGGTCAATCATGGCAGCTGTTCAATATGTTAACCGAAACATGGGTTTGTCTGAGTAAGATATTGTGCCAACTTAAGCGAGGTTGATATACCTCAACTCACCATTAGATTTTAACCTTAAGTCTACTCTCTAGTGAGTTTAATCAATGGCGAGGTTTATTCGCTTGATCCATTAAGACGTGTGTAAAGAACAATCATCATTTGGTTTTATGAGCAGTGTGCTAACCTTTAATAAAAAGGTTTTTCGCCAAATGAACCCCGTGCAAATCATGTCCTCGGGGCACAATCATCGCCCCCATATAAACTAAGATCTCGATCATGGATGGCCATTTTATGCAACACTGTACCTGAGTTGATTCATTTATTCACTGTTCATATATCTTAAGATGATCCCTGACAGTTTGGCCAGTCATAGAAACCGCTATTCGTTTTTTCTTTTGATAAGAGTGTTTGCACGAAAACTCTATTATCCAATAATCTGGCAACTTTCTCGGATTTCACTTATGCCGTCCAGTTACTGGTGATTAATATCCCCTTGGGCTCAGTTTCCACAATCTTGCGTCCTGGGTCGTTCGCGGCAGTTACGCAGCATTACGCGGACTCGTGGCCAGTCGGTCATTTCGTAATTAGATATTGGAACCATTTCTAATAGTTGTTCCTTATTACGACAACATCTAATGAAGGCCGGTCGATGTTCACAAAGCATAGTTGCATACAGAACATGATAAGCGTTCATTGAGGTCATTCCAATCTGATTCTAGCTTGTCTTGCGTGAATTGTGTCGATCTGTGGCGGAACTATGTCGAGGATGTCTTCGAGATGCTACGCTGTCTTTGTTTTTATTTTGGTGCCGACCGACTTTATTCCCGCAATCTACTACTGCATTGAAAGACCAATAACGCGAGCCCGATTCGTTCGATTGCTGGGAGTTGAGATAACTGACAAATTCAGTGTCATTCATAGGATTGTCCCGAGAATCTTCGGATCACTGTTGACGTGCTTTTCACACTCATGAGCGGGTGATTGAACCCGAGCGCATAGGATTGGTTTGTAAATGCATACTGTTTGCCCCTGTTTTCTCTGATGTGAAACCTCATGTGTTTCGGCGGTACTGTTTCGACTTTGTGTAGAATTCCAATCGTTTCTACCATACGATGTTGACATGATTGAGTGATCAACGCATTTTTTCTTCACAAAGTCACTTGTGCTCTATATTTAATGGATACAAACTGCGCTCCAGGCTTGAATTAAGATTTCCCGAACGAACTCAATAAACGTTTTAAGGCATCAAGACAAGTGATATCCTTTTATGCGTTTTTCGTGGTACATCCATCAGTCTATGCGCTATGACAGAACTTCAAGCAGTGGTTCCGGCAAATGTGCCACACCAGCATCGTTTACGTGTTTGCATTTTGTGAGAACCGCAGACTGCATGCTGGGGCAATAGTCAGCTAGTCGGACATTAACGTGCAAATTGAGGACTAAATACATGAGTGTTGACGCACCTAAAGACGCTTGATACATATGTCAAAGGTCTAGTTGAACCAACCAGTCAATTCGTAAGGAAAATGATAGGGTGGAATATGATAAAGGCATGTGGGTGATGGATCGAACACTGGATAAGGTCAGGTGTGTGTGCGTGTGTGTGAATCACCTAATGACCACTGCTTCCGCTGTTCTTTGATTCTTGCCCGATATTAAAACTGTTTGGTTTGTTCGAAATGCAAAAACCTCGCCATGCCAGGCGGTGAATGTTCGGATTAATCAAGTCAGTTTTTCACAAACATTATTGAGGGGGGGGGTTACTCGTTGGGAGATCGGTGTTTCCCCACCAGTGAAATGCAATAGTAATTTCTGTGATGAGCGACAAAGAGCACTGGATAGCAATCCGTAACAAACCTGTTCAGTCTTCTTTGTCAGTCACCACATAGATTTCGTTCCCAATTCAATGCCCTCGGTTGGCAGTTGAGACGATCAGATTCTTTATACCTAATATATGCGCATTTCTCAACACAGATGCACAAGCGACTTCAGCAAAACCCCATGTTCCTTGCTAGTTCACCCAGAGCTATTTGATTTAGTTTTTCCAAGCCAAATAGACTCCATGCGGAACGAGCTTAATATTACGGTTCTGGCATTTAGTGGTATTTGCTGACACCAAATAAATTATACACTCGGGGGAAGGAAGGGGGGGTGACTGGTTGCCTCGTTTTTGTGGGTAAGAGTAGCAGTAGCTAAGTTGAATACACAGGTATCTACATTGGTTTATTCAACTATTAATGGAAATATGCAATCATTTAATTCCGAGGGTGATGTAAAGTTCAATGCATTTTTGGAGCTGGCAAAAGTGTTTCAAACTCAGCAATAATTTGATAAACGGAGTGGTTCAGAACGATATTTCTTATCGGGAACAAGCTCGGTACCTTAGAGATAACAATGACAGTAGCAAGCAAATATTAATGTACCATTGAGGAAAGTGTAGTAGGACAAAGTACAGAGAGGTAAATTCATCTTTTGCTTCATCGTACACTTAACGAAGTAGCTCAAGGTTGCACGTATTTGTGGAAAATATATTTCGGTGGATCATATTCTAGAAGGCCAGTTCAAAATTGTAGCTTCATCCGGATTGGTTACAAGCTACTAGTGAATCAATGGTGAAAATCTGTAATTTTTATTTATTCATTGCATCTACAACAATTACAAACAGGTTTCGACTTGGAGTCCCTGCAATACAACTATTTGGTATTGAAAATAGTAATATACCGGTTTATGCAGTCATCGACGTAACCGCTGTTTGATAGAACTGTTGTAGCCCTTTCCCGATGCTTTTCA